GTGCAAGTAGACTGCTGCACCCATGTGGAGTCCCACAAACTTCAATGGGGCCCTCGTAGTGGTCCGCATCACAGGTTAAATTGCAGATCAGCTCCTAAAACAGTATTGAACCAGCACCTCAGGATCTTTCAGAGATGTAAAACTAAGTCCTCTTCATCAAATGGCACTTTTTGCAATGTCTTGGTCAAATTTCACTGTAAGTGCATCCCTAAAATTCTTCATATAGTTTTGATTCATTTCCGCGCCTAAAAATTGGCATGTACTGTTGCCACCCCAAAATGTTTACTGCATTCCAACCAAAGGGGGCTGCATTTCAGTGGTATATGAACCCTGTTTATACCAAAGCTAGAGAGTGCTTTAAGCCCTTTCAGGACAAAAGAAACTATTATAAAAATTAAAAATTATTAAAGCACTGTAACCTATCATTCTAGATAACTTGTCTCATCGTCTCTGAATTATGGGCATTGATATAAATTCCACAAGCAAAAACTCAAATGGATTTTTTTCAAAATTTATGATGATTTTACTGTTGTCTCTGCCATCTTCTAGTACAGAGGTGGGCAAACTATAGCCCACAGGCCACATCCGGCCCGCAGGGCCATCCTGCCCAGCCCCTGAGCTCCTGGCCCCTCCCCACAGCCTCCACTCTCTGTGCCGGTAGCACGGTGGCGTGACTGGCTCCAACCAGGCGAGGCGGCTCAGGGGCAGATTTACAAGTGAACACAGGGTTCCCTGGCATGGGCCAACAACAGGGGGACCCAGGGCCGGGCACTCGGGCAGCTCAGCTCTGGCACACCCCCCATGGCAGGGAGGGACTGCACTGCGTGGGCAGGGGAGCAGGCAGGCAGTGCGGGGAACATGGGCGGAGGACTCAGAAGGAGCACTGGGCGGCCGCGCAGCCGGCTGGAGAGAAGCAGCGCTTTGAAGGGGAAACTGCCGCTTCTCTCCGGCTGCGTGGATGCCCCTGCTCTTCCTGAGCCCTCCACCCATGTTTGCAGGGCCACATTCCGAAAGGGGCTGGGGAGGATAAGGGGTGGGGTCCCAGGGGGGCGGTTAAGTGACAGGGAGCAGGGAGGGTTGGATAGGGGATGGGGTCCGGGAGGGCGGGGATCCCAGGAGGGGGCAGTCAGGGGACAAGGAGCAGGGGGGGTTGGATGGGTCAGGGGTTCTGAGGGGGGAAGTCAGGGGGCGGGAAGTGGGAGGGGGCGAATGGGGGACGGGGGGCAGGCTGTTTGGGGGGGGCACAGCCTTCCCGGCCCTCCATTCCGTTTCACAACCCCAATTTGGCCCTCGGGCCAAAGAGTTTGCCCACCCCTGTTCTAGTAACATCATCATCTGCACCACTGCAGGTAAAGGTCAACCACCTTTCCATTACAGATTTCTCTTTTCAGGGATTTATAAGTGAACCGGGATTTATAAGAAGCTGATACCCAAAAGTCAATTTGGAAACAAGTTTTTAAATTTTTCCCTGTTTATATTCAACAAGTTATAAGGGTACATAAGGAAGTTTATCATTCCAAGTCACCTCTTTGCACATAGTTGTGATTTAATAAGAAATTTCCATGCAATTAGGTATTGCTATGCCCAATTCCTCAGTAGTTTGGTGGGAAAAAAATTCCAACTACCAAGATATTTTTTTGGAAGTGGCTACTAAGCATGCCACAAATCTACATCTCAAAATAATTTTAATAAAGCAAACATAACTATACATTTTTTAAATTGGTCCAATGTCTATACCAGTGGTTCTCAAACTGTGGGTCGGGACCCCAAAGTGGGTCACAACCCCATTTTAATGGGGTCACCAGGGCTGGCTTAGACTTGCTGGGGCCCTAGCCCAAGGGCTTCAGCCCTGGGCAGCAGGGCTCAGGTTACAGGCCTCCTGGCCTGGCGAGGTGGGGCTTTGGCTTCTCCCCCACCCCGCCCCGGGTGGCGGGACTTGGGCAGGCTCAGGCTTCAGCCCCCCTTCCTGGGGTCATGCAGTCATTTTTGTTGTCAGAAGGGATTCACGGTGCAATGTAGTTTGAGAACCCCTGGTCTACACATTAGATACTTGAGATCCAATATGGTACCTCTGAGCAATTTGTTGTGTTTTCTAAACAATTTTATTAAAACAATATTACCAGAGAAAGATTACATTCAAATAAGTATGTTATCTCTGTTTCAAACAGCCAGATACTTTTTGGTTGGATACTTATCTGCTGTGGGTAGATATCGATATTGTATGGTTTACGCGCATTGTACAGTCTACCCAGCATTTCTCGCATGCGGCCACCAGGGGCTTTTCTTGCATCCACAGCCTCCTGGGCAGTGGGGGGGGACAGGGTGGGCACAAAGCAGTGGTCCCTCCCCCAGGGCCACCAGCAGGGTTTGGACTGAGTAAGTCTGCTGTGAAATGTGATATTTATTAATCACTTTTCACAGCCACAGACTTACTAGTTAGCAGTCTTTAAAAAAAAATTAATAATAAGGCAAAAGAAACAACAAAAAAGACAAGAACCTGCAAGAGCACCTTTTTGTGTTTTCATTCTGTTTAGGTCCAGTAAAGAATAGACAATTCTACATTATTTTTATTATTGAATCTGCAAAAAGATTCAACAAATTACAATGATTTGGACATATGTATGTGCATATTTATTTGTTTTTCCTAAAGTTAAATTGTCAGCGAGGCCACCAGCAACAGTTGGTGGCTGCACTTTGGGGCCACCATAAATTTTGTTGTGAGAACCCCTGTTTACACTATATCAAGTATTGCTATTGTACCTTTCCAACGTGGAACTTCACTTTGTCTCCAAGTCCAAAAGACTTTGATTCATCCTTGTTCCTCATTTGACAGATAAAGGTGATGCAAGACTGATGAGTCAGTCAGCTTATCACCATCTACAGACCAAATGTCAGAATTAATCTTCACCTTGACCCTGCCTCTGCTGAAACCCTTATTTCATGCCATCTCAAGTACAGAAGTTCTTTCTTTACAAGCTTCCTAAATTCCTACTCTCTCTAATTCAAATATTGAATCTGCCTTCTCCGAGTCCAAATCCATACTCCCTAGGGAAGCACTGACTTCAATGACAGCAGAATAAGTCTCTTAAAAGTACAAGACTGGGCCACATCCCATCCTCATCTTCACTGGCTTCTCATGGAGTCAGCCACAAATCTGAGAAACAGAACCCAGGTCTTCTGGCTTCAAGTTCTGTGTTCTATCACTGGGAATGCTACCCATGCTATTCTGATCTAATCTTGGTTGTCTCCCAAATTGGGAATGCCACATTTGCTTGAGCTGCTTTACTGATTGAGAATTCTTCTCAATTCTAAACTCACCATAAAACTATTCTTCTTCCTGAATAGTCTATACTTCATTCATCTTAATTTCACTCGTAAAAAAAAATAAACCTAATTCCTTCAAATGATAGATAGAAACTACTTGGATTTTTGTATGGTTTATTTAAAATTGTTTTTCCATGCAAGGAAGTTAAAGAGTTATTTTGTCACAATGACGTCGTGAAATGCTCACTACTATGGACTCTTATTTATTGAAATATGTTACATTCTCATTTTTAAAAAGACTGTGTTAGATATACAGAAAATAGTTTTTAGTACAATATTGTCAGCTAATTCTGATGCATTCAAAATAACTAAAGCATGAGCGACACCAGAATGATGACAATATCAGATCTAGAATTAATCGATAACACATGTTGACATGGCTCTAGAGGACATACAGTGCCAGCAGCAGCTAAAAGTGATGTATCCTTATCTGGGTTTTAGAATCCTATGGCATTTGCAGAATTCAAGGTGAATTATTAAGATTTACTGTGTATGTGGTTATTGTACTTTATGACTACTAGTGTAGTGAGTAATTGCTTTGCCTCCACAAGTTTGAGGCTTTTAACACTATTTTAATGTCATTCTTTGTATTACATAAAAATGCAAGCTTTGTGATCCCTATCTCACACTTCTAAACAAGTTCAACCCAATGTCAGAGCCATTGTGTCTGTTTGGGGCTTTTCAACGCATGTCCATTATGCAATTTTTACTGTTTCATAAAAACATCTCTTAAAGACTGTAAATGCTTTGAAAAATATAATGGGCTAGAAGGGTCTAGTGGAGACAATGACAAAAAAAAAATCCCATACACTTCAGTGGTGCAGGTTCAGGCCCTATATGCTGGATAAATAAAACTGTAGCATTTTTACAATGGCCAAGATTTTGAAATTACTTAAAACTTGGCTAATAAGCTGTGCCTTCTTTAAATAAAAGGAAAAGCCAAATTCCAAAACACCCCAATATGCATCCAGGGGTCACTTTCTTCTACATTCTCTGTTCAAATGACTTCTACATTGTGTGCGCTCTGCACCACCTCTCAGTCCTCAGATACTCATCACACCCCACTCCTCTTCCTGTGGGCCTCCGCACGGATAAGGCTGGAGAGGAGATCGTGGGCTATAAAGCCATGTCTACTGGAAATCCCTTTCACTTCCTTCTCCCCCTCATTTCATACCTACAGCGCCTAATCTCCCCCTTGCTTTTTAAGCCCCGCACTTTCCCTTGCCCTCACATCCCCCCCGGGGACAGCTCAGCTCTGCCTGGCTCCTCTGCTGCGCGAACACACATGCAGGGGCTGCGGCTCCCTCCCAGCCCACCACCCGCCCTACCCCCCTAGCTGACGGCCAGGAGAGGCAGCCAGTCTGTGGGGCCGGTAGGACAGAGCCAGTGATGTCCCCCGCCACCACCTTCTCCGACCCCGGGCGCGCCCTGCGCCCACAGCCGCTGCAGGGAGAGCGACGGTGAGCGAGGCGCGTCCACCAAGCACGGGGCACCGCTGCTGCAGCAGCTGCGGCTGGCGGAGAGCGGAGCCCAGCTTCTCCCGCGGGCGCAGCCCCACCGGCACGTCCTGCCCTTCCCCAGCTCGCCCCACGCACGCGCCGAGCGCAGCCCAGCGAGCCCAGGCGAAGAGGAGCCGGAGCGCACCTGGCCGCTGCGCTCTGCCTCGCCACACTTACCCCTGCGCCTCCCGCCGCTTGCGCTGCTCCCTCCTCTCGCCGTCTCTCGCCCACACCAGAGGCGTCCAAAATCAGCTGCGGGATGTAGCCAGCCTTCCGGAAACGCTTTCCCAGCTTGCTGCGCTTAGCCCAGGAAACAATTCCGGCCTGTGGCTGCGGTTGCGGCTCCTCCTCCTCCAGTCCCTCCTCCCTCGCCACCGCCCGGCGCAGAAAGAGCTGCAGCACCCGAAGCGTTGGGAACGTGGTTGACTTGAGTCCTCTGCCTAGGAAGGAGGGCGACGCCCTGTGTTTGCTGCTAGTTTTGCAGCTAGCCGGATCCTGGGAAGATCAGGCTGCGGGGCCTGGCTACAGAGATGAAAGGAAAACAGTAAGAACGTGTTTGCTACCAGCGCGATCTTCAATTTCTGCAAGAAAGATTTGAATCTGCCTGTCGTCTCTAAGGTACCTAGCAAGCGGGTATCTGAGCACCAGAAACAATAAAAGGTATTAAATCTGCGTGGGTGGGTGTGTTTCTCCTTCTCCCAAGAATCGCCCCATGTCTCCTCGTATCTTCATGCCTGAATCTTTTGTGTTTCACTATAAAATCCTTCATTCCCAATTTTCAGTGTATAGTACATTTCTATAAATAAATATACTCTAAGGGTCACCCCCTTGTTTGTAGGGCGATCCTTTAACCAGTCTAATCCACACTACAATTATTCTGGAAAAAAGTGATTGAGACATCCAACAGTAATACAAATAGGGGCCACCCAACACCACTTTATCAATACTTTAGTGTTTTCATATTTCAGTGTTTCTATCATTACATAAAAATAAATACAAAAAATCTTCCTCTAATGCAACATTAATGTTAATGTAATGTTATTAAAATAAACAGTGAGATTTTAAAATATGTTGGAGGGATACAGCACCATGAGTTGCCAGTCTGTCATAAAATTCACTGGCTCTTGTTATAGGTTTGTTTCTCTCTCCGTTTACTTGTGAAAATAAAATATGTGTTTGTGTGTATATGTTACACACACCCGTTTTGTTTTATAATTTTGATTAAGGTTGCATTCGCCTAGTCAAAGATGAAAGGTGGTGTTTCTAGTTCCTGTTGCTTTTCAGAACATTTAAGAGCAACAATTGAGTCTTGCTGACCTAAAGATTCTGTACCACCTTGATGACTGGAGGGGCAGATGCCTACAATAGTGATTATGGTCACTTCTGCCAGCATCAGCTCAGCCTTACCAGGGTTGAATTGAGCCAGGTGCCCTTCCTCTAGGAGCTTATTTACATCAAGGACAAAGACATGAATTAGTGTCACCTATATATTGCAGATATTAGAGCTTAAGGCACCCTATTATTTCCCCTAGCAGTAAATCAGATGTATTGAATAGGAGGGGAAACTAGAAATAAACCTGTGGATCTCTGCAAGTGGAGAAGTAACTGTCCATTACTACCTTCGAGGGTCTAACCAAGAGGTATAAGAAAAGCCATGTTAATGCAACTCATTTAATTTCACCATCTCTCACAAACAATACTTAATAGTAGACTCTTTGAAGGTTGCTAGGTGGTGCAGAAGATGAAATGGACATTTGTCTCTTGTCCATTAGTATGAGATTATCCATCAGTGCAACTCGCACCATCTTATCGTACATGGTTGTACTGTACATAAAATAAAAATACAGTCCAGCCAGTACTTTGTAACATTATTTATCTGCAGCATTAAGTACTAATTGGACTACTGCAAGCCTCAAAGGGATTGATAGACCAGTGTTCAAGTTTTCTAATTATAATCTTTTTGCACAAGTGAGAGTGATGTGGAGATACAGGATGTTTCAGGGCCAGTACATCAATGGTAAAAGGATAGTATTTGATTTTATCTGAACCGTTCACTATATTTAACTTTTCAGATGTATAGCTTTTTCCACCAGGATGTTCTGGAAACTCATAAATAGAGTCTCTGGGCCTGGATTAAGCTGGGTGGTTCTTTTCTTAGCTGAAGAATGAAACAATCATGTCCTTGGTTTGGCAGAGGTAAAGGTCAGACCAAGATAGGGACACAGTTACTATGCCCCTAATGTTAATACCCAGGGTACAGATTTAGTCTCTGATGTATCACAGCACTCAGATACAAGTGATGAGAGCCATACAGAGGCCTAGATAATTGAGTAGCTCCAGTACTTAATTTGTAATGAAAGAGGTGTCGGGGTGCAAGCAGTTTTTTAAATTTCATAACGGACATGACAAGCCTAGAGGTACGGGGCTATGAACTGCCAAGCCCAGAGTGCCTGGGCTCAGCCCTGGCACAAATTAAGCCCTGAGCAGCTCCCAGAGGCTACCTGGGAGAATGTATTGGTTGTCATGATGAATATTAACTCTGGTGGTGTCATCTATATGGCCGATGAAGGACAATGACCCTAGAAAAGAACAGGAGTACTTGTGGCACCTTAGAGACTAACAAATTTATTAGAGCATAAGCTTTCGTGGACTGCAGCCCACTTCTTCGGATGCATATAGAGTGCATATATGCATACTCTATATGCATCCGAAGAAGTGGGCTGTAGTCCACGAAAGCTTATGCTCTAATAAATTTGTTAGTCTCTAAGGTGCCACAAGTACTCCTGTTCTTTTTGTGGATATAGACTAACACGGCTGCTACTCTGAAACCTGTCAATTACCCTAGCTAACTCTGGTACTTGGCTTGACTAGGCTGAGTTGCTCAGATAAGAAGCTGGTGGGGTATGGGCAAGTAAGTGTTGATGGCTTGTGAAAGGAACCAATCCATGGCCAGAAGGAAGAATGTGTTGTGCTATGGTGGAAAGAGAAATACACACCAAAGTTATCCAACTTGTAAAAGCCCTTTTTTTAAGGTAAAATAAATATCACTGACTTTAGTGTTTCAACGTACCAAAATATCTGCAGAAACCAACTGAAGGAACAAGGTAGGCTTAGCAGAGAATCCTTTAAAGACTTGGAAACATTGTTCTCAAGATGGGCAAGGAAGAACCTTGGTAATGTCCAAAAATACAGAATACTGAGATTTAGAGAAGGACATCCATGGAATGCTCTTTATGAGCCTATTAATCAACCACTAAATATTTACTTGGATTTTACCTTCAGAATCTGAGCCTTTGAGATTATCAAGAAAAAGTCTTTCAAGGTCCTGCAAAATGTACCTGACTCACTGTACAAGCAGACATTTTTGCACCATAAGGATCACTGCCAGAATAGAATACACATACCTTCTACCACACCATCCCAATCAAACTTCACATCCACTTCCCAAAACAGGTAGATCCGTTAAGATTAATACAGATTTGATGGAACACCAAGTAAAAGATCATTAATAGTCAGATATACTGCACTATCAGAGTAGCAAAATTGCAGAAAAGTCAAATAGAAAAAGATTACAGAAAGGAAATAATGAGGTTCGTAAATCTCTTCAACCAAAAGAAATTCACTAGTCTTAATCTGTCTGAAGCATTTGGCACTGGCCACTGTCAGAGACAGGATACTGGAGAAGATGGACCAATGGTCCGGCCCAGTATGGCTGTGCTTATGCTTGTAAATTATTCATTCATGCCTAATGTCACTACTCTCACGGACTGAGGACTCAGTACGATCCTAATTTGATTTACTGGAAAAGAAAACTAATACAATGAATGTGAACGTGAGTAAAACATACAACTTGAATATGAGTAAATGTAAATAAAGTTTTTGAGGAATATCCATATTAAAGATATTAATTAATCTATGCTGAAAAGCAAAAATGATGGAAAATTGTAATAAATTTTGAGCATTAAAATGATGGAGGGGCACTACATTTGGTCCTGATGAGCCATAAGAGCCTCTGATAAATATTATACAAATATATAAATTACTGTACTCTACATCCAATAAATGTTTTTGATACCAAAACCTTTCCACTTCATTCAACTATTTCAAAGATAGGCACATCAATATGTGATTTTTGTTAACTTTTAGTAGCTTTAATAAAACCCACTTTTTACATATAAAAGGATATCAATGTTTTTCTGACCTAAAACATACATAGATTTCAATCCTTCATTCTTTACAAAGCTCCAGTGGCTGTCCAAAGAAGCAGAATCTGGCCTTTAAAAACTTCTATAATGATCATTTCAGTAAGGTTTGATATTGAAAGACAGACTGTTACCTGCTGAAGATGCCAGCAATCACAGCCCTAATTATCTCATATTCGAGTCATTCAATCATCCAAAGCACAGGATTTGGTGGTGATGGGGGACTTCAACTCAGACATCTGTTGGGAAAATAACACAGCAGGGCACAGATTATCCAACAAGTTCTTGGAATATATCAGAGACAATTTTTTATTTCAGAAGGTGGAAAAAGCTACTATGGGAGAGGCTGTTCTAGATTTGATTTTGACAAATAGGAAGGAACTGGTTGAGAATTTGGAAGGCAGCTTGGGTGAAAGTGATCATGAAATGGTAGAGTTCATGATTCTAAGGAATGGTAGGAAGGAGAACAGCAAAATAAAGACAATGGATTTTCAAGAACACAGACTTTAGCAAACTCAGGGAGTTGGTAGGTAAGATCCCCTGGGAAGCAAGTCTAAGGGGAAAAAACAATTGAAGATAGTTGGCAGTTTTTCAAAAGAGGCATTATTAAGGGCACAAGAGCAAAACTATCCCACTGTGTAGGAAAGCTAGGAAGTATGGCAAGAGACTACCCTGGCTTAACCAGGAAATCTTCAATGATCTGAAAATCAAAAAGAGTCCTACAAAAAGTGGAAACTAGGTCAAATTATAAAGGATGAATATAAACAAACAACACAAGTATGTAGGGACAAAATTAGAAAGGCCAAGGCACAAAACGAGATCAAACTAACTAGAGACATAAAGGGTAACAAGAAAACATTCTACAAATACATTAAAAGCAAGAGGAAGACCAAGGACAAGGTAGGCCCATTACTCAATAGTGGGGGAGGGCTAAGGGGGAAAACAAACAGAAAATGTGGGAGTGGCAGAGATGCTTAATGGCTTCTTTGTTTCATTTTTCACCAAGAAAGTTGGTGGTGATTGGACATCTAACAGTGAATGCCAGTGAAAATGAGGTAGGATCAAAGATTAAAATAGGGAAAGAATAAGTTAAAAATTACTTAAGAGAAATTAGATGTCTTCAAGTCACCAGGACCTGATGAAATGCATCCTAGAATATTCAAGGAGCTGACTGAGGAGATATCTGAGCCATTAGTGATTATGTTTTGAAAAGTCATGAAAGATGGAAGAGATTCCAGAAGACTGGAAAAGGGCAAATATAGTGCCCTTCCAGAAAGGGAAATAAGGACAACCCAGGGAATTAACTTCTGTACCCAGAAAGATAATGGAGCAAATAATAAAGCAATTTGCAAACATCTAGAAGATAAGGTGATAAGTAACAGTCAGCATGAATTTATCAAGAACAAATTGTGTCAAACCAACCTGACAGCTTTCTTTGACAGGGTAACAAGCCTTGTA